TAGACACACTATGTTAAGCATTCAATTCGCAAATAACTTCTGATATGGAGAAGAATTTTTTATCTTCAGTCAGTCTAAAAATATACTATTGCAAAAAAAGAAAAATTAAATAAATAAATAATTTCAAGTTTGTTAAAAATTTCTTTTATGTATAAAATCTTGTATCTGTTATATCTGCGCAAAGATTATTGATGTACTCATGAATGAAACAATCAAGTGATCTGTCGATATTTCTGAATACAAATGATAATTAGAAATCATTTCTAAATAAACAAAAATGCAAGTAAAATTATGTACCTAATATAAAATCAATTTTACCTGTAACATATACATTTTGAGTTGTTCCTGACAAAATGATCTGGATGTCCACACAATAAAATAAAATGTGTCGATGTGTCGCATCTCTTGCTAGCGGCGTAACCAGAGTTTTGGCGATGGTAGGGCTCAGCAACGCTTAAATATCCGATGGTAGGGCTCAGGTTACTGAGGTCTGTGGGGTGGTAGGGCTTGTGAAAGGATTCAGCTGACGATGCTAACACCGGTGGTAGGGCTGAAAGGTCGGGTGGTAGGGCTGAGCCCCCCCCCTGGCCCTACCTTGGTTACGCCACTATCTCTTGCGTTCTTCGCTAGCCAACATATAGCAACCAGCGGAGAACGCAAGAGATACGACACATAAAAATTGCGACACATTTTATTTTAGTGTGCATGCTTTATACGTCCAAAAAAATTTTAATTGTTACCTCAGACCATTTTCGACGATGATACGATACGTCATTCTAGATTATCAAAATTGAAAAGATGTTTCTACAAAAGTGATAGAAACCCTACGAATTTACCCATTGGATAATCAACATTTTCAGTGAGACATATAGTTAAAATTTGTCCCAATAATATTGCTAACATCAAACGAAGAACTGTGCGATAGATGAATTCCTATAAAGACATTCGTTAACATTATTCGACGCACTATGATATTAATTGTGAATACTTGCCCGCACGATTGATGCTGAACTGGGAACAAGTACCACTCAAACAAGGAACCTAGAAATGTGCATACATATACTTTAAAACGGAATAAAAAAAGATAGAACACTTTACAATTTCAATGAAACAAGATAGACAGAATGCAGTGCGTGATTCTTTCACTCATTTCTATTCTAATTGCATAACTAATCTTTGGTTTCGCATGATTGATTTTTTTTTTCTTTTTTCTTTATTGATGTGTTACATATAAGCATGTGCAGGGTATATGAGCAGTAAGATATGTAAGGCAAAAAGAGGATTAAGAGAGTCATGCTTTTGTATGAATACTTTTTATTAAGAAAAGTCATATTAATTATTAGTTACTTAAATTAATCACTTTTTGCTTCTTCTAGAATATTATTTTTCGTTTTCGTGGCGATTTGGCCGACGATACTGTCCTCGTCAAATTTTATTGGTGAAAAATGAAATGCCCTACACTGATACACATATACCTTAGCTTTTTTTCTTCTAGTCTTATTATATTATGAAAATCGATCGAAACAAGATAAGAAGAGAGAATTTCTCCTACCAAGTATCATCGTATTATCAACTCACTGTCAAATCATAACAGCTATAGATAAGAAAAAGAAACAGAAAAAAGAGAAAAAACTAAGGTGTATGTATATCCTGGAACATATTATTCTCAGTAATAAAATTTAAAGAGGACAGTATTATTTGTCGAAACATCATGAAAAAGAACATTATACAAAAACCAAGAAGAGATTTATTTAAGTTACCATTTGTTTTATTTTTATTGATTATAATTGAACATGATTCGTACGGCCTTGGTGACTGGTGCCGCTCAAGGAATAGGACGTGCAATTGCTATTCGTCTTGCTAAAGATGGTTTCAATGTTGCTGTTAATGATATAGAGGCTAATTCCTCTAAACTTCAAAAATTTCAGCAAGAAATCGAACAAATTGGTCAAAAATCAATCTCTATAATTGCTGATGTTTCTATAAATGAATCAGTCGAAAAAATGATGCAAGAAGTTGCACAAAAATTAGGAAGTTTAGATGTATGTATTTTTCACTCTTTTTCATTGCTTTGATTTTTTTTTCTGTTATGATTCATTCTACAGGTATTAGTCGCAAATGCAGGAATTGGTGATTCGAAATTGCTCTTAGATACAACTGTAGAAGATTGGGATAGAGTTTTTGCAGTAAACATGCGTGGTGTATTTCTTTGTTACAAAGAAGCAGCTAAAATCATGATTAAACAAGGTACAGGAGGAAAAATCATTGGTGCTTGCAGTAATGCTGGATATAGACCAACTCCAACGATCGGTGCTTATTCTGCTACAAAATGGGGTGTACGAGGTTTAACACAAGCTGCTGCTATAGAATGGGCTCCATATAATATTACAGTCAATACTTATTGTCCAGGTATATTTTTATAGCTTTTAAATATTAAATCTAAGAAATTTTATCAGGTATCACGATGACATCGCTTGGTGAGACATTTCTTGAAGGATTGGCAAATTTTCATGGGAAGACAAAAGATGATGTTACTGAAGATTTTGTCAAAGCTACTCCACTTGGTCGCATAGGAGATCCAGATGATGTCGCAAACTTAGTTTCATTTCTTGCAAGCAAAAATTCTGACTACATTACTGGACAGAGTATTTTAGTCAATGGTGGGAGATTTTTTTCTTAACTTTTAATTACTATTTATTTCAAAATAAAAGTTTTCTTTAATTATCAATACAAAATATTTCTATTCTGTCAGTTAAAAAGTATCATCTGAAAGAGGATGTGGGTGCTGATGTGGATGAAAAGAAGACACACTCCACACCCACATCCTGATTTCATAATCAGAAATAAAATATATTTTGTTACTTCAAATCTTTATTTCTGTCAAAGATATCATATTGACATGAAAGCGAATAAACAACAGAAGATTTTTTTCAACCTTATTCAGTGAGAAGATATTAATCATCGATTCTTCCATAGTTAAACAAATAAACAAACTCTTTTATGTAGTATAATATCCAATTGATGTCTGTTTACATTAGAAATCCGAGTCTGTTTTTAAAAGACTGTTTTACTTTTTTTTCTGATTTTATATTTTGCCTTTTTTCTTTGAGATCTTAACATGAATTATTCTCATTGTAACCTATTAATTTACTGTTTTTACTTCAGTTATCCACATACAATTCAATTAATATCAATCCATCGAATAGCTTGTCTATATGAAAGATATTTCAAAGTAATTTATCAATGTTATTCAGTGTGATAAATAAAAAACCTTTGTCAATGCCATGAAAAATAATATCAGCAGTATTTTTGTAGAATGAGATCAGTTTTCCTCATGAAATGAAGATCCCTTGGATTATGATAACGAGTTTCGCAACGGATACTACACACTTCCATTACTATAGTTTGTTATCAAAAATAAAAGTGTGGATGTGGGTCAATGTTTCTAACAGCAAGGGTCCACCATGTTCATAAAATATTCAAGAGGCTTGCCGCAGTACTCTGTATACAAAATATATCTTCGGCATATATACATTCCACCTTGAGAATTTTCTTATCTCCACATTTTTGAGGATCTTAAAGAAATATAGTCAATAAATATTCGAAGCTAGCAGAGGTTCGTAGAAGTTTCCATGGGCGATAGGATAGATGAAGAACATTGAAAAATATAATAAGTGAAGTTTCCTCAGTCTACAAAATATTTTCAATCCACAATCTAGATTTTAAAAATTTTTGTTTATTTTCCTTTTCTTCAAAATCTGTACGCATCAGGTATACATCTGAAATAAGATAGTAGTTTAATGCTTTGCAAGTGATCACATTCATTTCTTTTATTTACATGAGTTCTTAACAATGAGAATATCTTTTAATCAAAAAATAATATATCGTTCAAATACATTCATCAAAAATAATCAATATTATTAGGGCAATGATTGACATCGGGCGTTTTTGTATCGATACGTCCATCGTAGTTTTTAAATATATTACGAATACTGTTGGAAACAAAGTAAATTTATTCAATTATTCTAAATTTATAAAATGAAAGATATCTTCGTTGTATTTTTTCTAGGCAAAAAATACTACACCTAATTCACATACAGATTCAACGAGTGATAATAATATAATGTAACAGATTTTGTTCGTCAAGATGAAAATGAAGGACAAATTGAAACTAAGAAGTTCACAAAAATGAAAATAAAAAAGAGTAAAAGATAAATCTTTTTTTGTTGTTTTACTAATATGTTAGAAATTATTTAATTTTTTTAATAAGATACCTTTTTTTATTTCTTTAATTGATGAAATGAACAATTCAATTAACAAAATGTTTTATATTTTGAAAAAGATAGATAATGCTCCTTTGCATTGTTTTGAAAATTTAATACATTTTCAACAGCAACTTAATAATACAAATGCGGAATCGAACGAAGTGGTAATGAATGAAGTTATAAATCGCATTTATTAATTTATCAATTGCCTTAATACCAGAAAATCTGAAAAAGAAAATAATACAAATCCTGGATATTATTCAAACTTCGTATTATAAAACATTAGTAAGAATTAAATATGCATTTTCAATGTTTTCTTTTCGATTTTCTAGAATGAAAACTTTAACATGAAAAAGAAAATTTCAAAGATAGAAAAAAAAATACAACAAATTAGCAAATGAAGTTAATGAAGTACAAGATATATGGTTAAATTTTGCGATCAAGTGAATCTTCTCAAATGTGACTTAGAAGAAATTAAAAAAAAACAAATAAAATAATTCGAAATACTAACCAAGAATTGAAAAAAGACACGATAGAAATCAGAAGAGAACTCGATCAGATAAAGTCAATTGTTGTTTATGTCATAATAAATATTCAAATCATAGTTTTAGATTAAGAGAAAGCAAAGAAATTTTATCAAATGTTTCTGTGTATCTTCTCAAAATAGTTATTCAGAAAATACAATTAAAGTTTGCTGAAAATAATGAAATTCATAAATATGAACCAGAGCACATATTTCATTTTGAATTACTTTTTACTAGGAATACATTAAATGAAGTGAGTAGTGTCACATATCCAAGATTTTGGAGATGCCACCACATCTCCCGTGGGAGATGACGCGTCTCCAGCGGGAGACGCGACACCCACACTCGAGAGATGTGGTCATTCACCACTGGAGATGTAAGATCTCCTTTAGAGATGCGCATCCCCCACACCCACACCCGCATCTCTCGCGCGAGATGCGGCATCTCCCCGCGGGAGACGTGGTGGCATCTCCAAAATCTTGGATATGTGACACTGCTGGATATTCTTGATGAAATATCAAAAAAATCAAACATATGTTTGAAACATGTTACGTCTCTTATCTTCGAATGACGACAGAACGGAGAAAAAGAATCCCCCTTCGCATGGAATCGAACCATGCACCTCCTGCTTACCGGGCAGACGTATTAACCACTGTACTAGAAAGGGTATCTCTTCTCCGTCTTACGATTGTATGGGAACAATACGATCGTAACAAAAGAATTAATTGAACTTCTTTTAAAAAACAATCCACGAAATGATGACACTAATGATTATATTAATAATTTTATCAAGGAAAATATCGATAAGGATTATCAAGCTAATGATATAATAAATTATATTAAACATAATAATAAGATAGACTTGATTATCAACAATACAGAAAAAGAAATTTTAAAGAAATTGATCGATCTAAATGTTGCATATAAAAAAGTGATAAATACAAGGTGAATTAAGCAAAAAAAAAAAGGGGTTTTTTTCTTATCTAAGTATATAAATTTTCAAACATATCTGAATACATCAACAACAACAAATTCTGACATTAATAAACCACTTCGAGTATCTATTATTAAATGATATCAAGTTTGCTTTGTACTGTTTTTTTTGAAAATTGAATTGAAATTTTTGTTTTCATTTTTTTATAGAACATGGATTATTGTTGGTAACATTCAATCAGGATGTTGTCGTGTTGGTGATCGATGTTTAATTATGCCTAATCGAACATTTGTTGAAGTTACCAACATTTATGATGAACATATTGAAACTGATTCTTATGATTGTGGAAAAACTGTTCGCCTTAAATTAAACAATGTTGAAGGACAAGTGAGTTTCGTTTTTTTCTTTTTAGTCATTATCACTGTCTAATTAATTATTTTAGCAAATTTCAACTGGATTTATTTTATGTAATGCTCAACAAAATCCATGTAGAGTTGCATGAGTTTTTGATGCACAGGTAAAATAAATAGATCATTAATTTGAAATGAATATATGTTGTGAATAGGTTGCTATAATTGAACATAAATCGATTATATGTCCAGGTTATTCAGCTTTACTTTATATTCATGAAGCTGTTGCTAAAGTTCAATTAAAACAATTATTAAAATTAATTGATCGTGAAACAACTGAAGAACATCGAAGATTTATCAAACAAGGTCAAGTAGCAATAGCAAGATTGAAATTATCACAATGTAGACAAGTTGTTTGTATGGAAACATTCAAAGATTATCCTTAACTCGGTCGATTTACATTACGTGATGCAGATCAAACTGTTGTTGCTCTTGGCAATGTTCTTACAATTATTCAATGAACAATTTTATTACTTGTTTTTTGTCTTTTTTAAACTATTGTACACAAAAGTTCCTCTAAAATACACTAAATTTCTATGATATTTTGTTCGATTATGCAGGCAAACTGGTGATATATTAAAAAGACTGAATAATTTTTTTTGTGGATAAAACTGTTCTTTGTTAATGTTTGAGGCTCATATACGAATTGTAATGAGCAGCAGAATTAAATATCGTTTATCGAGAAAGGAAAAATTCAGAAAAAAAATTTCTCATACGATTGAGTACGCAACAATTTCCTCAAAAGATTTCGCATTCTTAACTTTGTCGAGATGTCATCTAGTTTTTCATGTAGCGCGAAACATATGATTTTTGTAGCCAGTGATATACCGTGATGTTTTGGAAATCGACAAGTTACTAGAAATAAGTTCGAAATATGTCAGCAAGATTCATATCTCGAGATAATACAAAGATTTTTGAATCTTGACTCTCAAGATGAAATCGTTTTCGTTCTTATATTAACTGAAACTTCATTGATAACATTTCAGATCGCTTCGCATTGCATTAATCCAGTCTTTTGCAAATTTTTCTTTTATTTACTAGACATACGTATTGAAAATTATCATTTTTTGTTACGATAAAGCTCGAGAACGAAGATTTAGAAAATATACAGATAGATGTTTTTCTACTGTCTTATTCATATATCCAAGAAAGTCGTGAACTGGAAGGGAAACTTTTTTTTATAAGAAACTCTTATAACTGTTTGAAATTAAAATGAATTACGTATATTAAACTTATTACTTCTGTTACACAATATATAGAAAGAGTAAAAACAAAAAAGCAAACAGTTGCTTGCAGTTCCAGCAAGAGAGTAGATATATATATCTCACTAAACAATAATTTATTAAACCAAACTTAACATAACGTATTGTTCTAAATTTTATTTTGTATCTACTACATAGGTTTACAGTAAGCTTTATGTTCCTGATATTCATTGTGTAGCAAAGGTATATCACATACTACCAACAACAAAATTATTGCATAGCGCATTTTTTATAGGTATTTTTATTAAAAGTCAGCCATGAAAAATATATATTTTTCAAAAAATCCTTTTCGTTTGCAAAACTTTGTAGAGCTCGTTTCGCTGACGTTTTTGGTTAAAAAAAGTTTCAAATTTACCCAATAGGGTGTGGGTGTTAGGATTAGTGTTTCGTTCAGTGTAGCAATATGCGTCGATCATCTCTTTATCAATACCCATCTAGACATCTACACTCATCCACTTTCACACTCACGATTTTATTTGAATGATTTATCCCACTGATTGGTACAGTTTATTGTGAAACTCTGAATAACAGCGTTGTTTATAGAAAAAGTTTCTTATGACTGTATTTCATCATCTGGATTCACAACGGTCCTGTATTTCTATATTTTTGAAATTAATCCTATAATAGAATATATTTTAGCCTTTTTTCCTATATTCCTATGTTTTTTGAAAAATTAAAGATTCTTTGGAAAAAGTCAGATGTATCTTCAAAAAGTGCCTCACATATTGTGTAAATATTATTGCTAGTGTCCAGAGCCGGCGAAGCCATTAGGCTTGGAGAGGCTCAATATTTGAGAAAATTTTAGGATCTCATTCTGAATTAAACCGGATGTTCCAAAATGTTACCAACAAAGTTTATTTTGTATCTTTGCATGCACAAATGCTAAAATCATGAATTCTTTTTTTTAAATGCGTTGTCGGCGCCCTCTACAACAACTGTATCAAAAAATTCTATTGACTTCTGTTGATGAATGTTTAGAAAACTGAAAGAAAATATGTAAAAAAACGTTTCTACTTTCCATTATATTGAAAATAACAAACATATTGAAAATAATATCTATTTTTCATTTATTTTGCATAGAAAAATGATAAAAATTAGATTGCTTTTAAAGATGCGCCGTTAAATTCTCTATAATATTCAGAGAAAAAGGTGTTCTTGGATTATCGTAATCGATTTTGAAACGGCAAAATATAAACATGTCAAATATACTGTTGTTTTTTACTATAACGGTAGACTACAAGCGTCAGAAATGGCAAACTGATTATCGAAAGCAAGTTTCTTTTTGTACAAAAACGCACTACTAAATATAGTGATTAGTTGCTTAAATAGAGAACCAAATTCAACTCAGTAGAGTGAAAACTTAGAGTCTTGTATATCTTTGCTTTTAGTCCTCATAAAAAACGATTAGAACAAGTCAAGAAAACAGTCTGTTTCTTTAAAAGAATTCAAGTTCTATGATTTGTTTGACCGAAAATAAATGAGGAATAGATATTATAAAGTTTATTTTAACAGCAGCAACGATAACGTAATTCACAATGTATAAAGAAAGACTATCTATTTTTGAGAGATTTTACTTTTGCAGAAAAACTGCAAAAGTAAATTCTGTATAGACTAACTTTATATTGAAATTCTACGGACATTGTGAAATTACAATTTAGCACTATTCAATAGTGACAATATCATATAACTATCGAGTGTTTTTTCGTTCTTCGTATAGTATATATATAGGCTATTCAATAGCTAACTTTATGTGTTTTTTACTATTCGAAGACGTGATTGTACACTCATTCTGTTGTTTTGGGGTGTGGATGTGGGGTGAGGGTGGGGTGTGGGTGTGAGTGTGAGAGTACTTGCTTTTGTCTACACCCACACCCACCCACACCCGCATCCTATGAATATAAAGCAAAACTTCGACAGCTGGCGAAATCAAAGACGAACTTTGATTTAGGTCCTTAACTAACAGTTTCTTCTGAATTAATGTATTAGTCGGCTCGATTCGAACTAATTCCCTCCTATATTTACATATCGTAGTCATAAAAATACTTCTGAATATTAAAAAAAAAACCTGCATCATAGTCTCTGTGGAAATGAAATATGAAATACGATAGATACACAGTGTAGATTTAGGTCTCCTCGAGGACCTTAATTCATCCTCAAAATAAGCTTTTATCCACAAACTAAGATCTAAATGTCACTTTTTTTTTCTACATGTCGATCATGAAGAAAAACTGAAAATCTCAACAATGTCAAAGAAGTCAAAGAAAATGTCTTTGATACATAATATGAAAAAAAAAGAGTAACGTGACAAAATTCCTATAACCGTATCTAAGGAGGGTAGTACTTTACAGTCCCATCGATTTAAAAACAACAAATTAATAAAATGCTTAACATATTTCACAAAAATCTATTTAATAATATTTATTTATACGTAATGAGATATTCTGGTAAGATATGTCGATTAGAATAAACAACATAAATATTTGATCCATCTGTTGTCGAATCATAGTCTGATGGACATGTTATCATTGTTGAGTTACCTACACAACTTCGACCAACAAGTACACGACACATGAGTATTCTTTTTTCACCAGTAGAAGGATTTGGTACAGCATATCCATCACTATATTGTCGACTCGATGAGAAATAAAATCCATGACCATAAGAAGTACCTAAAACAAAAATGAACCAAAATACAACTTAAATTTATTCTGCATTTTATTTTACCATGTTTTCCAATACGTGAATGGTCAAATGCTTGTTGTAAAATATGTTTAGCTGCTCCATATGGACAACCATGAAATAATAGTTTTTCCGTGTTATTATATCCAAGCCGAGCATCAACCACTTGTTTCTGATTGAGATATTGAAATAACCATATTGTGTTTTCAATTCGATGAATACAAACAATCGATGATGCTCCAGCATCGAAGTCATCAGCTACTCTTCGAAATTCATCTGAGTCTTTTGGCACTTGTATCAAAGTACATTTTGGTATTGACCAATTTTCTGTTGAAATATTTCTCAAGTTTAAACCACTTGTATCTGGTAATTCAAATTGAGCACCAAATGCAGTCCGAGCTTGGAGAAGAAGATTACATGCTTCACTATCTAACATTGTTCTCTGAATAACGCTTTGAACTTTTATTTTGCCTTTATGGAGTATCAGACAGATAAGCAACGGATAAACTTCAGTCGGTAACGAATCAATTACTGCTGCGACTTCTTCACCTGCATGTGTTGCAACTATAGTCAAAAGCCTACAAAAGTGAAAAAACGATTTTTGTTGTATGTTCTTTGTTTTAACTTACTCATAATAATTTTCTTTTGTTAAACTCCATATCCATAAAACAAATTGTTCAGCAAGATAGGTATTAATTGATTCTGAATATAATACAAGTTCATTAAAGGTGTCTGTAGCGGGACTTTGTTCATCATATATGTAAAGAGCTAATGGTCGAGGCTAGAAAAAAATTAAATATATTATAATCTTCTATTTTCAGGAGGAATAAAAGACTTACATCCATCGAGTTAAATAAAGAATCGGTTAAAGCTTGATCAAATGAATATTCGTAGGGTGAAGACGATGATGCTGTATATAGGTTACGAAGACAATGAAGAAATTTCTCTTGATTAATTAATAAAGAATCAACCATTTTGAAATATTCTACATTGTAGAAAAAGTTCTCTCACTTTCTCTGTTACTGTACACTTCGAAAGTATTTTCATTTGTGGTCACCTATATTAGCTTCAGTTATTGAAATAAAAACAAATGTATTAACCTACCGGTCTACTGTTGATTTGTGTATTATCTATCTGGTGTAATCGATTGTCCCGTTTTCTAAATCGTCCACTCACCCATTGTCCCATGTTTGTTTTCAATTGGAATGCGTGAGGCTTTTATATGTTGAAAAAATTTCGTAATTTTTTGTTTTCTTTCAATTGACTCATTATATACTGACGTATTGCTCGTGCATTAACGAAACGGATATACATTGTCATGCTTGTTGATTTCAATACAATAGAAAAAAAAACCAGTTACGCCCTTCAAATTTTTTTTCAACAGACTAAGAACGAATTGCATAAATTTCGAAATATCACACTTTCCAATAAATCTTCTTTCAAGTCTTCTATTCATGTAAATGAATATGTTCTTTATGATTAAATGAAACATTTTGAAGGACACTTATTACACATTTTGTCTATACTTAATATTTAAGTAGAAAAACACTAAGCAAAACAATTTAATCGCACATTAAAATCAGTAATAACTTCATGATCGAATAAAAAACAGAACTACCGATAAGAGCAATATATATATATGTTATTTCCTAGATTCACTAATAATAGGTTACTTTTAGTCATCAGACTCTGTAGAGATACTTTCCCTTAAACATTTATGTCGTATTACACTACTGATTATAAACAATTCTACACGACAAGCAAAATACATAATACTATGAAATACTTTACCACTTCATGAAATTGTACTGTAATATTGTAATTTTAATTGAAATGATTATTATTTTTCCAAAAAAAGATCTTTCCAACAAAAACATGATCTGTATTTACTGAAATTTTATTATGTATGCTCTACATTAATAAAACTATTACAGATTTGCATATATTACAGTATTCTGACAGACCATGTAGAAGACTGCTAGCAGAATATGGATCTAATAGATCAATACTGAATTTGAATCTTTATTTTCTAAAAGACAAATACAAACTAGAAAAAAAAAACCTAATGCTGCTTGTATGAGGACATGATGAAATGAACAATACCTATCGTTTACTATGAGAGGAGAAAAAGGAAAGGAAAGAACATAAGGAAAATATATTCATATCGTATATGTACGAGAGCAGAGTAGAAGAAATAGAAAAATAAAGTACTATGTATATTTAAGTCGCATTACAATCAAGACTTTCTTTTTTTGCAAACCTCTCTAACTGAAATCCTGATAGACACTAAGGCTCCATGGATTCATTTAACGTGTAGAAAAAAAGTTATCTTATGACATATTACTTTAAAAATAGATTTATAAAGAATAGTATACATCTTGTAATGAATCCATATATATCTATATATCGGCAGATGAAATGACTCAATAATATGGAATTTACACTCTAACTCACCGACAAAGATTTGTTATTAGAAATTCAACAATACTTATTTTAATAGAAATCATTATTCTGACAATTTTAGATAATGTTGTATAATATCATTTTTACAAACTGTGACTCAAATCAATGTCATATGATTTATCATAACATAATCAGACAAAAAAATATATACTTCGACAGTATGTCACTCATAATATTACCATGCAGTTATTATCAAATCTGTAGAAAAGAATAGACCGTTAAGTTTCCGCAGAACTGATTAGTATTCAAAAACGATGCGAACAGAATCAATCAAGGATGAAATGGATTTCTTCGAAAGATTTGGTCTCTTGTCTTATGATATGCAAACCTGTCATAAAACAGTTTCAAAATGTATCACTCATATAATTATCTATAATATCACTTGTTTATACTGTATTCAAATTCTTTGAAATAATCAATAAACATATTATAACTTAGAACTAATAACAATTAGTTCTATTGAATCATCAATATAACAATTGATCACGCTAGTTTTCATACAGCTTTGTAAGCATTTTTAAGTCTTGCAATATCCGTTCAATTGCTAAATCTTTGAAGACGAAATAATCAATTTGTAAATTCATCAATCTACTGTGAATATAACAATCGAATCAATAACCTAGTAGATAGAGCTGAATTGAGCATCGTATCGATATGAGAAAGTATTGTAATTCGCTAATACAGATTGATAAATGTGAATTATAATAGAAAGTTAATGAGCATGAAAGTAACTTGTGATGAGTGGACATCTAAACAATACGAAATATTACTAATTTGAAGCAGTTTTATTATATTCTAAGCGTGCGTATATACAAATATAATGCAGTTAATATTTTATTCTCTGCAAGAAAATCTTTTCGATATGTATAGTTATGTTAAAATTATGAATCAATAATTGTTGCTAAGTGAAAGGAATTGTATAACATTTCTTAATCATTATGCAACTGCGTCTTTTTTAAAGATTCATGCAAAAAGAGTGCAAGTTCATTCAGTAGGAAGATGGCAAGACTATTTGAATCGTTGAATGAGTCAACATATATCTACATCCTTTCAACTTTAGTTTGACGTATTATAGAAAGAACAAAACGAAAAAAGAATTTGACCCCACAGCAAATCTGAATAAAAATAATTACACATGAAGTGAGTGCAAACAAATTTCGACAAAAATCTTGTTATTTTTCCTAATATTAGCATAGCATTTGCACTTTTTTTGGTAAGTATGTACTCCTGAAAACGAAAAAAAAAAGAGTCTATTGATGCATTATTGTAGCATACTCTGTTGTTCAAACATGAGGGTGTGAGTGTCTTCATCTTGACTCAAACAACACTCACACCCATATCTGAAACCTTGGGCATACAGTGGCAATCCTGAGAGTGCGATTTATCCCATAGGTGTACCCATAAGTCCTCAAGAGCTGTCCTGCAAGAGTACCTATAAGTAGATGTGTGACAGGTCCAGTTCAGTTTGTTGAGCTGGAGCTAGTTAGCCAGCTCTCGTCCACATGGGCTGAAGCTGTCATGCACCGAATGTTGAACCAATCTTTGATTAAAAAGGAACTTAAAGTTGACCCAAAGAACGGAGGATGGTTTGTTCACAAATCGGTCCTAAATGGAAAGCTCTTCAGTAATCAGTTGCATCTTCAAAATAATGCTTCACCCTTCACCATTAAACCATTCTCGATGTACATGAAGGATGTTCCTGAACACTATATAGTCCATTCTATCAGATAGCCTACCATCCCTTTCTAGTTCAGATTTCTACCTGTGATAGTGCATTGTAGTGTCCATAATCACCACGTTCTTCAATGTAAAAATGTAAAAGCGACATATTTTCCGGGTAGACAGAGAGTATCAAGAGCTACAAAATAATACCAAAATAAGGATGGAAATATGCTGTGCTCGATATTTTCTGAAGAGCACACTGCCATATTCCTATGGAGAAGGTACTAGGTTTAGCAGTTCTATCCATAGAGTTCCCATCATACCTCATAGAACCAGAATCAATTTTGACTTTGGGTGTGAGCGTGTGGGCTGGTGTGCGTTTTCTTCGCCTATATCTCTTTACATTTACATCGCACCCCACCCCACCCACATCCACATCCAAACCCACACGCACACCCTAGATGACTAGATAAATTTTTAACTAGAAAGATAGTAAATGCTACATCTTTAGTGAGATCGTTTGTTCTTATATAACGCATTCCATTCATGTATAGTTTATTTTTACTTTTGCATTGAAGTACAGATTGTGTAGATCTTGTATACTTCGTTCCGTGTAGCTAATTATCGATAATCAATCAGTAAGAGAATCAACCGATTAAATCCGATTCCAGTAAAGCGTTTTATGATAAATCGTAGAAACGGTTATTTATTTATTTTTATGAAACTCAAATGCTTTCAGTGATATCCTGATCAGACGAAAGAGGTGTCGGAATAATAATATCCCCAATAATCGTAACACTTCATAGCTATATTGTTGGCTGCTTTGTGTCACCAATGATGCCAAGTAGTTTCTCATATATCTCTTTATGTGAGGAAGATGAAATGTTTTCGAAGAGACGTATATAGTACATGCTTTTTTTTTTCGAGAAAAAAAAAGTGAAATGTCAATGCAATAACAAAATGATTTTTCTAAAGACTCTATGCACTAATTTCTTTTATCGTATACTAAACGTTGATGTAAACTAGCTCCCTCTGTCGCGAATATGTCATAGCTTATATAGATTATCCAATGAAATTTATTATTTTCTTCCATACTATTTGATTTGTTGTTGTGTAAAATGATAAGAATAGTTTAATGTTCGTCAGTGACGAAAATTAAAATTTTCTAGTAGATTACTTTTATTTTTTTTTCTTATCTATTAAAATACAAAAACAATGGCGGCAACAAACAAATCCATACCTATCTATCGATTAATTATGGTACAAAATCATTAAGAATTAATTAATATATACTTATAAAACTATTTCATTTATCATAGGTTGGAAGTGGTGGTGTTGGTAAATCAGCATTAACACTTCAATATATGTATGATGAAGTAATTCAAAAAATAGATTCAAATTTTTTCTTGTTATTTAAAAAAAAAACAAACTTTGTTTAGTTTGTTGTTAATTATGAACCAACAAAAGCTGATTCATATCGAAAAGCTGTTATGCTTGATGGTGAAGAAGTTCAAATTGATATATTAGATACAGCTGGTCAAGAACATTATGCTGGTTTGATTTTTAAAATATTTATATCCAAAAATGTTTTTTTTTCTATGTAGCTATTCGTGATACATATATACGTACTGGTGAAGGTTTTCTTCTTGTATTTGATGTAACAGATGCTGAATCATTTTCTGATTTAAATGATCTTTAGTAAGTTAATATTAAATTTTTATTTTTGGAAATTAAAAAAAAAATTTTTTTTTTTGTTTAATTTAAGTGAACAAATTTTACGTGTAAAAAGTAGTGGAACAAATATTCCAGGAATATTAGTTGGAAATAAAATTGATTTAGATGATAAACGTAAAATAACATTTGAAGAAGCTGAAGAAAAAGCACGTAGTTGGTCAATAAGATATATTGAAACATCAGCTAAAACAAAACATAATGTTGATAAAGTTTTTTGTGAATTAATGAGAATTGTACGACCATTAAAAAATGTTAACAAAGATACAGATACAGAACGAGTTGATATTATTATTGATAAAGAAAAACCTCGAAATTGTTGTCTGATTTTATAAAAGAAAAAAAAAAACTAATATGATAATTATTTTATTTTTTTTTTTTTGTCACTTCTTATTAATAACAGTGAAATATGTCTTTTTTGTGCAATTGATCAATGATTTCTTTTTTTTTTTTTTTGTTAGTATTTATTTGTGTTAAGAGAATAAAAAATTGATTTATTTGCATTTATATATATATATATGAATATTGTTTATTTAGTTTAGAATAATGAATAGTAATGATGATATCGTTGTATCGGATGAACGTATGTATCAACAAGGTTTTTTTTTTGTCTAATTTTTTGAATTGTTTATATATTAGATGAAGATGAAGAAGAAGAAGAAGAAATTGATGATAGACAAGTTGAATCTGAAGTAGAACACAATGAAGAAGAAGAAGAAGATGAAAATAATGGAAGTGAGCAAGAAGAATTAAATCAACAAGAACATCATCAACTTGATGATGATGATGAAGAAGATGAACATCATGCTGAAGCTAACGAAGAAGAAGAAGAAGAAGACGAAGATAATGAAGCACGAGGTAAAATTGAATAATACAAAAATTATTTTAACAATTGAACAAATCTTAAAGAAAAATAAAATTAATCATCTTAGTCGATTAGAAATTTTCTTAAGATCCCTTCTCACAAACAAACTTTTATTTTTTCATGAAATTCAATCAAAATTTTAGAGAATGTTAGTCTTGACTAGAGTAGATTATGGTTAAAATATTCACTCAATTTATTGATCAAAAAATTGCTCATAAAAGATGACATATGTAAGTTTTTTTATTTTTTTCAATATGGAGATTCAAAACAACTTGTTCAATATCTTTAAAGTTCATCATAAAATCAATTCGAGTGTAGACATTTTATTCTATTTAACGAGCTATAAATCACAAAATTGACTTTGTCTGAAAAGAAGGTTCGTTAAGTTTATCTTTTGAAGAAAATCTAATGCAATTTTTTAAGGCGCTCTTGATTTTCAAACATACTGGAATAGAATTTCATCAATGTACAAAATGTATTGAACTTCTACTATCTATTAAGTGCCGAAAAAAATCCTTGTTCCTTCAACCGAAGAAATGTTCATATAGAGTAAAAGATATTTCGTTGCAGAGATGAGCAAAGTCGCACCGCGCCTCCCCGCGCCGTTGCTCACGCCTACGCTACACTAGTCTGAGCTTTGATGAGCGCATGCTTAGAGCATCCCGGTATTCGGTGGAGTTTGAGAAACTGATTGGTAGAGCAAAGAGAAAGAGAGATGTGCGTAGCGCCTAGGCGCGAGCAGTGGCGCGGGGAGGCGCGGTGCGATTTTGCTCATCTCTGTTTCGTTGTACGATCAAATGTCTACATATATTGATGTAAGTTTAGAGCAAGTATTCAAAATGACAAATGATTTCTCTGTAGTGTTCCAAGTACAACTCGACGAGTTCTATTCAATGGTGTAATCAGATTTTTGATAGACTATGGCATAATTTTTGCTATGGTCGATCAAAAATCTGAACATACAATTGGATAGAGCTTGTCGAGTTGTACTTGGAACAGGTTCCTGAGCGAATCGCCGGTGGAATTACTCGAATCGGTTGCTAACATTAATCTTTCTGAAAATTCAAGATACTTTCTTCTAGTTTTTTTTGTATTTAATGGTAAAACCGATGGGCTCGAGTTGAGTGTGATGTGAGTTACTATGACAAGAGTTGTTTGAGGAAAATTGAGCAATAGATTTCTTGAACACAAAACGATTGAATTTATTTGAATTTTTTATATATATTCTACATTGATCGATGTTAGTAATTAGGCAAAATTAAGATTTTTGTAATAGAAAATAATTATATTATAATATTTAATTGTAGATACAGTTGATCCAACAAATCCATTAGATGAAGATTCTGCTGAAGCAGGTAAAATGAAATAATTCAACAGAAAAAATATTTTCAAAAAAAAAATTCTTTCTTTTTTTTTTGTAGCTCCAAATTTGACACAAGAAGATGTTTTTGGTGAAGAATTAAGTGATTTAAGTGAAGATGAAGATGGTATACGAAGAAAAGCACAAGATCATAATGATTTAAATAATAATCATGTATATATATAGAATTAATTATTTTTATTTAATAAATAACTAAAATAATTATTAAATAGGAAGGACATGATGGTGATGAAGATGAATTAATTGAAGAACACGAAGAAGAAGAAGAAGAAGAACAAATTATGGTTGATACACCACAAGTAACATGTGATCTTGGTCGTGATATTCATCTTGTTAAATTACCAAGTTTTATGAAAGTTGAACCAAAGTAAAACAAAAAAAAATAAATAAATTTCATTCTATTTTATTTTCTATTAATAAAATATTTAGACCATTTGATACTCAATATTTTAATGAAGAAATTCGTGATGAAGATGATGAAGAAAGTAAAGCTCGAAAAAAATTAGGAGTAAGCTTTGCTTTGTTTTTTTCATTAATTTTTTAATACAAAAAAACAAAACATTATTTAGCTTGAAAATACAATTCGTTGGCGTTATAATACAAATGAAAATGGTGAAACAATACGTGAAAGTAATACAAGATTAGTACGATGGTCTGATGGAAGGTAAAATATAATAATAGAATTAAAATAATCAAACATATATATTTTTTTAGTTTATCTTTACATGTTGGTAAAGAAATTTTTGATGTATCAAAAGCAAATATTCAAAGTGATCATAATCATTTATTTGTTCGTCATCAAAAAAGTATGCAAGCTCAAGCTGTTTTTCGTACTAAACTTTCATTTAGGTTAGAATTTATTTTATTTATAATATTAAAAAAAAAATTATACAAAATTTTTTTTTTAAAGACAACATTCAAATGATTCATTAGCACATTTAAAACTTAAATTTGCAAGTAAAGCAAATCCAGCACCAAAAGTTCGTGTACTTTCAAATATAAAAGCACCTATTATAAATAGTATTGATATGAGAAAGGTTTGTTTTTTTAATTTTTTTGGTCGTTTATTAAAGTTTAGAATTTTCTAGAAAGAAGAACAACGAATGAAAGCTGAAGAACGTCGACGTAATCAACAATTACGACAACGTGAACGAGCTATACGAGATCGAAAAATTTCAGCAAGTTATCTTGAAGATCATGATGAAGATGAAGATGATAATGAACAAGAATCATTAAATACAATTAAAAAAAATGTTAAAAAAAAGAAATTACAAGGTTTTTTTTATTTTATTTTTTTTTTATATAAAAAAAATAAAATATTTTCAAATTTAAGGTGGATATCATGCTGAAGGAACAAGTGAAGAAGAAGAAAATATTGATGATGATGATGATGATCCAAGTGAAAAATTAAATCGTTCACGATCATCAACTTCAACAAAACATCGAAAAGTTGCTTCTTCAGATGAAGATGAATCAAGTAATGAACAACAAACAAAAAGAAAACGTGTACAATCTGTTGGTGATGATGATGATGATGATGAAGAACCACAGTCAGATTGATTATAACGAAGTTTTTTTTTTTTTGTTTTTTTATTTCTTCGTCTTCAGATCTGATCGAAAGAAAATTTTTTTTTTTTATATTAAGAAAAAAAAAAGAAAAATTTAAGAGATAAAACTTTGTACAATTCTAACATTATATATATAATTAAATAAATTAACTCTCTATTTGTCAATATGTTTTTTTTTTTAATATTCTAAAAAAAATGTATCATATAGAGTTTTGAATATCTTGAAAAAAAAACAAACGATTTATTTGAAATTAATGGTTCATCTCTATAATTATTCTTTAGATCAGACGAGATCTATCTTGCCTTTCAATTCGTTGCTTGAAAGCACAAGACAGAGGTGTCCATGGAGGCGCGGGAGAGATTTTTTAGGAGAAAACTTCAAAAATTCATGAATTAAAACAGAATCTCGACGTTAATGTGTGTAATACTGTAAAACTTAACGAATATGATCGATTAGCAGTAGCAGTTCTAGTTGGCATCAATCACAGTCTGGAAAATTAAAGCATTTTTTTTGAAAACCATCGCGGCAGCGGAAGATTTTCAGTCATGATGGACATAAGAAAGATTGTTTCTCAATCGTTTTCTACAAGTTTGTAAAGATAAAATTAATCAATCAGACTCTCATGCAGAGCGTTTATTTCAAACACATGTATGACTATTCATCATGCAAATCTCGAATAGTTCGCCGTTTGCAACTGTTTTCGTTGACTATAAATATACTTTTGATCAATTATGGTTTGATAGATGATTGGAAAATTCCGCAAGCCTATATCAACTGAATTCGAGCGTTCGTCGAACGGTCAAGTTTCGCTCACGCTGCTAAAAAAAAGAAGAAGAGACGCACAAGGAAACATTCCTAAGCGATTCGCACCGTTTGCCTTCATATTATGCCTATAGGTAGGGTTCATAATATTAGTAAACTCGAGTTATGACCATTTTACTGAATTTTCAGCCTATCACAA